TATTAATATGAATATTCTGAAATATTCAAAAATTAGTAATTTTATAATTTCTATAAGAAAACTTCTAAAACCTCAAAAAATTTAAGGTATTTTTTTTATATAAAAATCTTAATAAATTTAAAATATAAAATATAATATATAATTAAATTATATTATTAAAATATAAAAAATTCTTAAAAATCTGTGAAATATGAGAACTCTTTTTTCATCAGCTGTAAATTCTGAAATATTACAAAATTTCTAAAATTTTTTATTCTATAATTTCTTTTAGAAAACTTATAAAATCTGCAGAAGTTAAGATCGAGTATTTTTTCTTTATAAATTTAAAATACGAAAAAAATATTATGAGATATGAACATTTTTTTCACCAGGTAATCTTATCGCAACTGTACAAATAAATTATCGATACAATTACTCAATTGAACAAGTATCGTATATACCGATATCCTTGTCCGAAGCCAGTTTCGCATAATCATCGTGAGCTTTCTTGATCTCGTGCAACTTTGCAAAATCCTTCGCGCGTGATAATTGCCGCGCCGCAACGGCAATGACGTCGTGCTCGTTCGCCGGCAAAGATCGCAGTGCCGTCACAAAATCATGCGAAATCTTCCCAGCGCTGACGATGCCCCATCGTAGAGTGGTCATCTAAATTCATCACAAAAAAAAAGAACACTATCAGTTTAGCATTACATTTCGTTCTTACGTAGCGTGACACGTTCGATGAGAAAGCCTATCCAGACAAACTTGCATATAGATGCAAAAGCATATGCAAAGAAAATTATCCAATTGTATTTTACGTGCGTCCGTATAACAGAAATGCCACTGGGTATCAAAAAGTAACCAAAACTGGAAGTCTAATTCATAGACATATGGTCTAATTGCACGTGTGTTTAGTAATTTCAGAAAGTTAAAAGGATGCACATGTTTTAGAAACCAAAAAGAGGAACGTCACGAACATTTCAACGTATATCTTTAATATTACTCTAAAGTAATTGCAGAGGTGTATAGTATCCACCACGACGTCCTGGAGTATACTAACCGCTTCGCAAGTAGACGCCGCCTCACGCTCCGGCTTTATATCTCACCGGACCGACTTTCAAGTGACCTTAAAATATGTGATAGTTGTGATGGATACGCCGCATAGATTGAAGTCGTTCAAAACATTTATCACGTATTTTTCCACGCGCAATTTTTCTAAGTTTTAATTATCTCACTACTAATATAACCTATTTGTTAATCAAACGAAACGTGTAAGTTTTCACATTTTATATATTAATAATTTTTATTCTTCAAATTAATATAGTATCTCTACTTACACCTGCACAATGTAGAAAAAATTCAAAAGAGTAAAATACAACCTGCAGTGAGCAAATTGCCTGCATTACAACAAATTGATAGATTTTCTCAAATACAGTGGCAGATTCAGAAAGTTGTTCTGGGGGAGGGGGACGGTATGACAAAATGTGAATTTTTAATTATTATTGTCGTTAACGTTATTTTTAATATTTTTCATGATTTAAAAAAAAGAGTGAACATTATTTAGTCTCGAATAATCTCTGATAATTTTTTTTCTCAATTCTGCTCATTGTCAGACATAGGTATATTGCAACAGATTTGCCGACAAAACTGCCGATAGTGCCGATCCTTCTTTCTTTCTTTAGAAGGGAGGAGAAAGATGCCTGGAAGATGCTCTAATTCCTTAAAACGAGCTAAGGCCCAATAAAAACTGCCGGTAGTGTCTCGCACTATAATGTATGTGTGAGACCATCCTGTGTATTTATTCGCCACTAAGTACTCGCAAGCATATCTTGCGAGCCGGCGTCGCCGGTGAGTTGCGAGCGTCTAAATCCAAGGTTATTGGATCTTACGGCTGAACCGATATTAAGTTTTTAAGTAAATTCAATAGCTTTGAATTATATAGTGTGTTTTTATTTTTCTTCTGCTTATGATATATTGAGCTGTTTTTAATAATTAAAAAAATTATATGTAGTTACAATTTAACTATATATCTATCTTGAAAAGTAATTTGTATATTCTTTACGCCAATTAATTCATCTCATGTTGTGTGCAAAAGAATAATGAGGTATATAAAAAGTAAATAATTTATGATATTTTTTACATCAAAATATGTCAAATAAAGTGTAAAATATTTCGTAAAAATTTGATAACTTTAATACCTTTGTATAATAATTAAATCATATTAAAGGAAATCATATTCTGTTCTTTAAAAAATGATGATTCTTATATTTTAGAAAATTGATTCTTTTCGTAAATTAATTTTACCTCTGCCTTCTCTACTTGTCCCTCTTTAAACCACACAACTTTTATCTGAAATATATTTTTCCATATCTTCTATATATTTTCTAAGATATTTGTCTGCAACAATTAAAATAAGACAATCTGTATATAAATAATATATAACAAACCTCTTTTATTTTCTTAAATCCAACCTAACCTAACTAAAATATAGTCGAACAAATGTTCTTACGATTCTTAATTAATACAAATATCTATCATGTGTAAAAAATAATTTAAGTTGCATATTTGTTTGTGAACATAGTTATATCTCTCAATGGAAATATTTTACATAAAGCTCGTCCACGCAACAATCCTTGAGGAACTGGCCCGTACACACGTGAGTCTGTAGAATTATTTCTGTTGTCACCTTCCAACCAAACGTGTCCATAAGGTATCTACAGGAAACATAATTAATACATAATTAATAAAGGATATATCACTCGTATAGTTTTTGTAAATGTTTAAGAGAGAAATCAGAAATGTGTTAATATTTATTTTTTCCATATAAAAGTGAATACTAAAAAAACTATGTACAGTCATAAACAAATAGGTCGTGACACTTTTTTTATGAGTTTCAAAACACTAATATATTTTGCAAATGCGACACAATTGATGTATGTACTATCTGTAGTTAAAGATAGTACTTTTTTACTGTTTCTAAACTATAGATAGTACACCAATCAAGGTTCGCATTTGCAAAATATTAGTGCGTTTTGAAGCTCATAAAAATAATGTCGCAACATATTTGTCCACGACTGTACATATGAAACAGTTGTATGATCAACATTATATATTTATTTAAACCATTTTTATATTTTTCTTACTGTATTTGTTATTACTTTATATTGTTATTAGTATAATATTATATTGTTATAGGTACAACTTAAATAACAATGATAAAAATCTCAATTTTTTTGTATATATATTTTGAGTATTTAAGAGTTATGCAAAGTTTTATTGAGACAAAAATTAGTTCTCTGAATAAAGTTTTTTAATATTTATTTTTATATGATAAATATTAGAAAACTTTAGAGAACAAAACTAATTTTTAACTAAATAAATTAATTTTAAAACTATTTTTTGCCTCAATGAAACTTTGCATAACTCTTGAATATTCAAAATATTTATACAAAAAAATTGAGATTTTTATCATTGTTATTTAAGTTGTATTATAACAATATAGAATAATAACAAATAAAATAAACAAACTATAAAAATGGTTGTTAAACAAATATATGACATTAGTCACACAACTGTTTCATATGTACAACCACATCTTCAATTTCTCAAATTTTTGCAAGGATTATATGGGTGCAGGGTACATCCTTAATCTACAGAAGAATATTATTATTCTTACAGTCTGTCAACGTTTCTGTAACTCATGCAGCATTAACCAAAGGAATAAGATACATGCAAAGTAATTCCCCAGGGACGAAAAACGTCATCAAAATGTCCTGATAATTTACCGTTGTTAAAGTCAAGCCGTTCCATATTTTGTCGCCAGGCAGACCTACAATTCGCTTGCATATATTCTGCTCTGGATTGTTGGGACATTTGGAAATGACGATATCCCCTTTCTCGAACCACTGATATCTAACTGATATTCGTTCCAGAAGCAAGACGTCGTTGGTATACAAAGTAGGCTCCATGGACGGGCCGCTGCACTAAATAATTACATTACATTAGTAATCATTAAAAACAAAGAACATTCTGTTTTTATGGGCGCATAATGTGACATCGCCGATACCAAATTCAATTTGTAAATAAAAATTACAATGTAACGAGTATTTTTTTTATTTTGTCTCACATTATTCTTATCTTCAAGAAACCTGTATCATGATTTTTTTTCCAGATAAAAAGAGTGGATATCATTGATCTTCTCTGCGAAAACGTTAGATCCGACAATGACAAAGAAAAAAAAATACATAAACGCGAATAATCAAGTCTACTTGTCTAATCGTGTCCTCACCACCACAATGTCGCCCATGTATTCGTATACGCAATACGTTACACATGCACATTGCACGAACCCACGGATAACCTTAGGCACAAGTTTAATTAACTTTAGCATTATGACAGCGTCATTAGCGTCAATGAGGAGAGGTGGCTTCTCCTCGCCCGGCGCCCGGCCTACCGGAATTGCAGCATATGATTATATGCATAACAACATTAATAACGCGTCAAAAACGTGCGTAGCTCGCTCGCTCATCCGCGCATTAATACATTTGCTTGATTTGCTTTGGCGCTTACAGTGCTCACGGCATCACTTCATCCGTGTTGTTTGTCAATGTTAAGGTTAGCAGAAATAGCAGGAGACAGGCAAACTCACTGAACTGGCTACACTAGTTCAG